TCCTCAGCACCAGCCAGGTTGTTGCGGACAGCCATGCGAAGAGCGAGATCAGGGTTTTGGAGCACATTGGTGATGTAAGGAATGATGTTTTCTTCTTCTACGCACACTGACAACACCTGGAAAAAACACATTTGTCCACTTTTCCATCTGGGATTATAAAATGTTCAGTATATAAAAAGACCACAAGGAACAGCAGATGAAAATCGATTTCATTTTTCGACAGCATTAGAACAGTTAATCAATTTCATATGAAATATGAATTTATTGATTATTAAAATGATTGTGGTTGCAGAAAAGCTTTTCATTTGGAGAGAAGCTTAAGCCATATGTCTGAAATGTGTCCATTCAGTCAAACAGACATACTTAAGCAAAACCATTAAATAAGATTGAAAATTTCCATTGTCACTAGGTTTACGGTACCTGTCCTTTTCTGTTGACTCCAATGATGCCAGCAGTGGGCTCATGTGGAGCAGTGACAAAAATGGTCTCCCCACTGATCCGGTTCATGTAGATACAGGTGCCAGTCTCAAGGTCGTAGAGGTGGATATAGCCATATTTGGTGATGAGGAAAACAACGTCTTGCTTGGAACTTATCTAAAGTTTAGAAAACAGATAAATTAGTTATATTATTGTTTAGTACATTTTTTGTTGAAGATAAAAAAGCAAGCAATCAAACCTGCATGGCAACAGGGAAGTCATTTTGTGCTTCTGGAGGAAAGAAAACATCCACGGCTTTCTTTGGGAATGGCTGGTTTCCAGTGGGAGGGGTGCCCACCTCAATGATATGCAGCTAAAATCCATATTGAGAGAGAATTACAAAAATGTAAACTGTACAAGGGAGTGTTAATCCTTTGACATGAAACCATACTTTTCCTCCTGCCTGTCCTCGCACGGCAAAGCAAAACAGGGTTGACTCCTCTGTGTTTCCTTCCATCTTGAACTGTGCAAATCCAGCAGCATGACCCTCAATGGGCTGAGACACCTTTCTATCAACTGAATAGAGCTGCATGGCTCCAACCACCCGGTTTTGCTATAAATATAAAAATATAAATTATCACACAGAACTAATGTAAAAAGCACAATCAATATTTGTATGTACCTGTGCTGAAATTCCGATAAGCAGCAGCCACTTCTGTTTGGCGTCCGTGCGGTAATTGATAATCTGGCAACCTGCAAGGCTGGAGTGACGATCAAAGACTTTGATTGGTTGTGAGTCACCCTCCATGCTCCAGTGGTATACTGCATTATCTGTGACTAGTGCCACTGTGTTGAGGGAAATCCACTTCCAGAAGGTCACATCATCTGTCATTGTGTGGGCCTTCATCTTGCTCTTCATCTCAATATTAAAGATCTGCAGGGTCTTTGCAGCTGAAAATGTAAAAATACAAATTGAATTTAAATGAAAATAAGTTATTTTATGTAGAAATGACCACCACCAGAAAAGTTTTAAATCTAAAAATACATGTGGACAACCCAATTTCAACAGTTGAAGGAATACTGATGTGTGGGGGTCTGATTAGATCACACAAAAGACTACACAACAAGCCAGTATAAGGGTCAAAACAAAGAGGCAAGACCAACAGAAGGGCAACCAGTGATGGATCTGCATTCAGTTACCGCTGATGCAATGGACTGACAGGGAAGACAGTTGAGGAAACAGGTGCTAAACTAATGTGAAAATGCAGATTACTGCCAGAAATACGCACTGCTTATGGTGACCAATTATATATTTTAATGAGGAAGCAGTCTTGCTGAGGCAACAGTAAGACCCAATAGTGTGACATTTTTGTGACTTTTGACTATGAAATGACCACAACAGTGCTGTTAATAACTCTTAATTAAAACAAGAACATAATTCTAATTCTCAATACCAAAATCAATTACACTTAACTATGAGTTTATAGATTGCAGATGCAGCTGCTGGCTGCATAACATTTACCCCTAAAAACATACTCATAGAAAGTAAATTTGAATGCAAATAAGGCAACAAAGCCCACCAGCGTGATCATGAGGAAGACTGTAGAGCTGAACTACCTTAGTTTATATTACAGCTGTGTTCATATATATTTAGTGCAATAGCTGCTCCAGCTATCTGAAGTGATCCTTAAACATGGTCTGTTTATATTTAATCATTATCTCCAGTATAGTATAGTCGTAATTACAAGTTTTTCTTTTTTTTCTGAATTTACTCACCAACATGCCTGTGTGCATTTCAGTATCCCATTAATTTACCCATAACAAGCTCAAAACTACAAGCAAAAGTTTGTGCAGTGGAGCAGTGTTACTTAATCCATTGCAAAGCACGGTCTCATTATGATTGGGAGTTTTCATGAGAAAGTTTACTGTGGCATTTACGTTTAAATGAGTAGCTGACATAATAAAGCCCAAAATGTTTGTGTTCCTCCGTTTCTGTAAACATACAGTATTTTATATTACTACCAACCATTTTCCCAAAGATCTATAGCCACTTTTCTTCTTTACAATGGTCTCTATAATCAGTAAAACTATACCTTAATTTATACCAGCTTTGCATGCTAATTGGCCTGGTAATATAAGAATTTAGCATTATTGTAAAAGGTGTACTACTGAAAACAAAATAGATTAAAATGATTAACAGTTAGAAAAATGGTCAATAGCAATGTAAAATATGTGTAATAAATGGAAGAAACACACATTTGGTTGAAAGGAAAAGGAAACAGCCATTGAAGCTGCTCTTACAATTGTACTGATTTTCCTTGTAATTGTGAATACAAGCATCAACTTATTTCAATCATCAGTACTGTGCAATAACTTGACAGTGCATACAAATTAGACTTGAATAACTCATGATATGTAAAATTCAACTCACCGTCTGCAAACGAAAGAAAGCAGTAAGAAATGAAAAAGAGCAAAAACAAGCAAAATAGACATAGGATTCATGGCTGAATGGCATTTCACTATTACTAACTACTACTAAGTGTGTTTCCTAAGTTCATGTATTTTACAGTTACAGCTACATCAACAAACAAATGAGATGACCTACATAAACATCAAATAAAAGCTGACACAAGTACATGATTGGCTGAAAATGCAAAGTGTAAGGGCTTAATATGTTGCCCAAAATATTACTATGACTATAATGCTTTACTCATACTCTTTTCTAGATGAATTTAAAATCCAACATGTTGTAATGAACTGCAACATACCTTTAAGTGCTATAACTTTGCTTGCTGGGTTCATGATGGCACTGTCTGCAGAGATGGGCCTCCGAATGGGATTGTTGGGGTCTGCCATGTCAATGATGACCACCTGGGCCTGCTCACCCACCTTTTCCCTTATACAGATGAACTTATCAGACTCCATGGTGAGTGTGCTGAAGCCAATGTTGGCTGGGTTGATTCCCAGATTCTGGAGCTGAGATGGACGAAAAACACAGACACAGAAGCTTTGTCAAAAGTACGTTCAGAATATAATCGTGACATAATTATGACGCTTTGAGTACATTCGATAAAAACTTGAATACAAACGTATGCTGTTTTGGTCAGAACTGAACTATCTTTGAAAATAAAGAAATAAAACCATCCTCAATAGGTTTAAGCATTAAAAATGGCCCGTCGTGACTTCGGTCTCTGACCATCAGTTCAACAGCAGGTCATTGCCAAAATGAGATCTTACATTAAAGTCGACGTGCATAACGACGTACATTTTCACAGAGATGCTTTCTAGTGCATTTAGTGACACATGTTGAAAAGAATGGATGTAGCCTTGGGTGATCGCTACGTCAATTACAGGATGCGGCTGATGCATCCTCACATCCTGAAGCTAGCACCTGTTATAATAGGCGGCTGCAACCAGCAGGTTTCTGTAACATCGTACTCTAATAATAAATGATATACATTCATCTTGGACTAACTGTATTAATGGCAACGGTGTGTTCATACGGATGTCATCATAATGAAGTGAAGAAGCGCTCGTAGTGGAGACTGTTAGCTCGGAGCTAAACGGGGGAGGGGAGGTCATTCATTTGCTGCGGGATTGACGTTAGCGTTAGCGATCTGTCAAATGACTAAAACATCAACTGAATAAAACTATATAATAATATATGTAAATAACCATTCGTTTACGCACCTGTAGATGCTCCTGGAAGCGGATAGGCAGTATTTGAGCCATATTTCCTTCTGCAGCCTCTGTGGAGTCTTGAAATACAGCTAGCAGTACAGCTAGCTAGCAAGGCAGTAGCGCCGCGCTAGCTACGACCTCCTCACTGATGTGTAGGTCGGAGCCAGTCAGTGAAAAGGCGGATCACGGGAAAACGATGTACTTGTGTTAAATGATACGATTTTGGAAAACTACGGTCAGTAAAATAAAAGTGGATGTTCCCGTTTTGTTCGTATTGTCGGCGCCGCATCAATGGATAGTAGCGGTGAGCGCTGATCTCCGTCCAAAATCCGCAATGGCGGCGGAAACTGCTCAGTGCCTCCAATCCGGAAGCATCTAGGGAGCTCTGGAAGGACACTGGTTCAAGATGGATGAGAGCAATCTGGTCTTTTATTATTCGAATTTATTTATTATTATTTATACTTCTACTATACGTTTTATGTAAAATGTATGTGTGTGTGTGTGTGTGTGTGTGTATATATATATATATATATATATATATATATATATATATATATATATATATATATATATATATATATATACACATTTGTCTTCTTTAGGCTTTTTAAAAACATTTTCTCATATGTCCAACTATTACAAACATTTTGAAGTGGACTCACCAGAGCTTACAGAATTACTGTTTTGCTTGTCACTGTGCTATATATCTGAAATAAATTGGAATATATTCTCATAGCATTCCTCATGATGCATCATAAATTAGATCAATTTGATAACTATAGGCAATCGTTTTTCTGTTTCTTCAGTGTTACTCCTCTCAGGAACTTCTCATCATGTGAACCTACATGTTAAAGTTAGAGGATTATCCTCTTCAAAGGAGAAAAAGACAAAAGACAAGCATATGCATTTTAAAAAGCAGCTGTATTCGACTATAAAGGCATTTCTAATCCAGTGTCTCTAAGCTGTTTTCTTTATTTTCAGTGTAAAAAGCCTAGACTATAGAAAAAAAAAGTAGTACACCCAAAATAACATCTCATAAGAAAACAATGAACCAAATACCCATTCACCAGGCAATTCAATTAAAATAAACACCATTTAATTTCCCTCAAAAGATAGATATTTCCATATACATATACATTTATATATTTATTCTGAAGGCAGTTGGTCTTGGCCAAACAAATTGACCTATTCTTGGCCATATCAATATCTGAATAACATTTGAAAACAACTAGAATGGAAATATGAAGCACAGTAAAATACCACTGGCCAGAAGAAATATCTCATTTTGTGTAAGGGAATAGTCTATCAAGGCAGTGTGACACACGCACACAAACGTCCTCCAAAACAAGTGCATAGACACATCATAAAACTACAAAAAAACACTCATTATCACCGTCAGTTTCCCTTTGCCTGTCTCCTCCATATACAGCACCTCTAATACAGCAGTTAGGGTCTAGGTTATTTTTTCACAAACTGGTATTTGCTGTCCAAAGTTGCTCTTTGATCAATGGCATCTCAGGTGCTGGTGCATCTTGTGTGCTTTCCTTTCTCCATTTCACCTGGTAACCTTTCTGTACATTTCCAAGTTTTGTAGCAGTTCTGTAGCAGTGGTTGATTTTAGAAAATGCAATAAAAATCAGTTGAAAATCACAGCATGCCAGCATATTGTTCTTACAGTAAATATGGTCATACATGATCCCTGAATAGAAAAACCTGATTAAAGTCGGCCTTATAACAAAAAAAATGAATTGCAAAAATTTTGAGCAAGACATTTTTATGCCGAATGTACATTTCAACAAATGGAAAAGGAAGCTGTGCCTATTGCTCTATGGCCTGAATTGTTGTTTTAATCATCAAAAGCACAAGAGGAACTTACAAAACAAGGACATGTGGCATTGCCGGTGCAGTATTGGTGAATGCTGAGGAAGTGCCCCGAGATACTGTTTACATGAAGTGATTTTGCATGATATAGTACACATAAGCATTGGTCTGCTCACATGTGTTTGTGGAACAGAGCATCATCAAGTTTGAGTGTCCAAGAGAAAATGAGACATTCCTGGGCTCCTCGGGAAGGCGCAATGAAGATGGATTTCAAAAGCCCGGAACTGCATTTTATCTCACTCTCCGTTACACCTGACGCCACAATTACGTGCCTCTCTTTTGTAGCTCCTGAATAAAAGCTAGGAAAAATTCAAGAAACTTTAGTAATCTTATTTTTTTCTGTTTTACATAATGGCTTAAAAACTCACCTCCAATGATCTCTTCTTTAACCTTCTGCAATTCTTTTCGCACCTCTTCTAGGATCTCCTAAAAATAGAAACAATAGAGGAACATTACACCATGTTATTATTGGTATATCAGATTTGAAGCTTCTGGACACATACCTGTTTCAGTTTTTCTAATTCAGAGTCATCAAAACCACCACCTGAGTCATTGTTGCCTAATGGCTTTGGTCTAAAATCAAACAAAAAAAGTTTTGAAGTTAGTTTGAGAAACTAAAAAGATGAATGGCTTCTGCTTAACTCTACCACAAGCAACCACCATCACAAGGAAGAAGACAACTTGATTATCCATTAGAAATGATGGGCAGCAATAAATAAATACTTTTTATATTTGAAATATTAAATATATATATATATATATATATATATATATATATATATATATATATATATATATATATATATATATATATATATATATATATATATATATATATATATATATATATACACATACACATATATATATATATATATAGATAGATATAGATAGGTAGATATAGATAGATATAGATATATATATGTATAGAGAGAGAGTATTATGTGGTATAAAAAACATTATTGCCCATCACTGCTAGAAACAGTAAATCCACATATTCATTTCTTTAGTTTTTTAAGATACTACATTAGTCACGAGTCAAGAGTTGGTCATTTGCACCAGAAACCATCTATACAGAAATGTTGAGTGTGAGGTGAGTCATGGTAGCAGTTCTTTTTCAGCCTAATCCCTACAGGCGCATGCCATTCCCTTCACCATTAGAGGGAGCTATCTGCTGCAGAATAGAATAGCCCAGCAGGTTACAGCCCTGTGCAAACCTGAGGAGGGAGAAAGCCAAAGGAACTGAGGTATGAGTGACGCAACAATGGGAATACCTGGAACTTTGGGAAACGGAGTCCATGTTCTTGCTGATGGAGTTATTCCTGTTAGTAAGACATAGACTGTGTGCTTAGAAAGGTGAAGGGAGTGGTGAGGCCCTGGCCCATTGGGTAACATCACACAAGACCAGATAAAAAAAAAGACAGCTGTTTTTGACACCCACCTGATCGTTGAAGATTTCTCCCAAGGTCTTCTGACCGTTGAGTCTGTATGTATGTAGATTTTATTAGACACATATCTGGAATAAACAAACCCATCCACATTTTTTGAAATGCATTATTGGTTCTCACCATTTAGACTGGGAGATTCTGAATCATCCTATAAAATCAAACACATGAAGTTAATGATGTTCTTTGCAAACATGTAAATCCAAAGCAGAAAAATGTAACTCCTACGTTATTTTCTTGTTTTTTCACAGGTGCCTTCTCTCCAGCATTTGCAGCTTTTCTCCTAAAAAAGATAACCAAAAAATGTGTAATAGAAGCCAGCTTGGTGTGTTGGCATTTGTATATTTCTTCTGTTTGGTAGTATAACTCACCTTCGTGCTAAGATGGCGCTCATCTCACCCATCAGATCTCCTCCTCCTCCTCCACCAATTGAAGAGTTGCTGCTGCGACTGGCATCACCTCGGCCTGTTGATACCGGTGATGAATCCTCCTGCTGAAAGAGAGAGAAGACACATGATTATAATTAAGATTTTAAAAAATCCTAAGAAAACACCAAGTTACAAGGTATGATCAGCATAAACTCAGTAAGAATATACATTGCTCATTACAAGTGAAAAAAATATATATATATTGCTCCCATTATTGATAAACTGACCTTTGAAACTCTCCGTAGCTTGGCTCCTGCTAAAGCTGCTGCCAAGCCTCCCCCTCCTCCCAGTCCACCCCCCCCTCCACCACCGCCAGAGGGCAGCGGTGGAGGAGGTGGGATTCCCCCTACAGGAGGGGGTCCTGGGGGCGGAGGAATGCCCCCAGAGGGTGCTGCAGGTGGGCCTGGTGGTGGAGGGGGGCTGGAGGGGCAGGAGGTGCAGGGGGGGCAGGTGGTGGGGCAGGAGCTGCTGGGGCCATGGGTGGAGGTGGAGGGGCTGGAGGAGCCATGACTAAAAAAAGAGAGAGGACAATATTTACTTTATGTACAAATAAGATATATTTTAGAGAGTAAATATTTATTTATTTATTTATTTATAACGATATCCCCTTGAGATGTAACATCTCGTTTGCAAGGGGTTACTCAACACAATAACAAAAAAATAGCAATTACAGAATAAATAGTAATTACATTTATGAGCTTTTAACCTGCTATGGTGACAGGGACAAGCATTTTTTTGCCACTTTTGGTGAGTTTTAGTACTAAAACAACAAAAACTGTTGGCTGCGTCTGTCACATGTACATACTGACCAATCTAAGTATGCATTATTAGCCATGTGCATGCTTACACAACTGATAATCATTACTAAGATTAAAAGCATTCTGTGAAAGGGTGTCATTACAAGATACAGACTGAATATTGACCGTAATGGGTCAGAACTATTTTTTCTGACCTGCAGCTGCTTGTCTCTCTCTTTCCAACATCTCTCTCTCCAGTCTCTCCCTTTCTTGACGTTCACGCTCTTGTCTCTCTCTCTCCTGTCTCTCTCTCTCCAGGCGCTCCTGCTCCAATCGTTGTTGCTCCAATCTGAAGATACAAAACACAATGTCACCAAGGTTCTCAACTAAACTATCATAAATAAAAATATCCAGACACACAAAAAATAACATATTAAGACAAAGTTAAGATTAACTTTACAGGCTTAAGTGACACATACATTTACTCAATTATAAACAACTTAATTCACATGATTTAGTGGAATTTATGCAATTTAATTAATGAACATCTGGTCAGCCCACAGCTGGATAAGGTGGCCTAATTCAAGCTGAATCACTTTGCCTCTGTCCAATCTCCCTTTTTAACACATCTCCCACAACTGGTCAATGTAAAACACTAAAACAGTATTATTAGCTGTCACAAGACTGAAGTAAAGTAATATTGTAAAGATTAAGTTCAAACAATTAACCCACTCAAAGGTTACACGTTAGGTTAAAATGAGGTTTTGAAATTGCGTGCAACTAAATTTAAACTGCAATTTAACTGCATGTCATTTAAACCATACACATGTAATTATATCAATACCGCTTTTCTATTAATAGTCACTAAAGAGGGTTTAAAGCACAAGTAAAGAAAGGGGGCAGAACGCACGTGCCATCTGCTTGACCAATCAAGTCTCATCCTGCAAATGATCTGCTAGTCTAAATAAGATTAAAAGGTTAATGCCAAGTATATGGCTGGTACCACCACACAGTCTCTGCAGAAAGATAGTGGGGACGTTACTTAAAGGACCTCTAAACACCAAAATCACATTTTTTTCTACGGAGTAGCTGTGTAAATAGGTCTTAAAATGGAAATGTATATCTATCCCTGGCCTTATTTTGGCATTTAGTGCATATTTGTTAAAAATCTGACTTGTGGGTCTGACTGTGTCTGTAACAGCCTCTTTAGGATCAACTACGGCCAGTACATTTGAATTTTCGGGTTGGACTAACAGCAGCCAATGAGTCAGATGCAGGGTTATTACGTGACAAGCACAGCCACTGTCGGTCTACGGGTGGTATTTGAGGAGACCCTCTCAACCCTGCCCCTACCAGCCACAGTTGCTCACTGCTATGTCCCGTCCGTGTCCGTGTCTGGAGAAAAGGGAAATGATGTGATTCAAGCACAAATGTCTGCTTTGTTTCACAGTCTGGAACAGACCGATCTAGGCCATGTTGGATTGTTGTGGCTGTCACTTGGCTGTCAATCATCGCCCCAGAGCCGGCCCACACAGCTCCCCCCAACCTGCCCGGCACCGCACACTCTGGATGATTTTTCTGATTTTGCTTAGGGGCGGAGTAAAGCTTCGGGAGAGTGTTTAATGACTCTTTAATATGCATGTAATCTAATATGAAAGTCTATTTTGACTGTCAGAAATGTTTAAGCCACTGGAGCTAAGTGCCGTCAGACAAATGGCATAATAAATCTACATGTGTGAGATGTAGAAAATGTTACAGACAAATTACAATTTTGTTGTTAAAATAATTGCAACCAATGGATACCTATACTATGATCCATCAAATTGGTGAAACAGGCTGTACAATCAATACTACCTTCGTTGTTGTTCAATCTCCTCTTGAGATGGCCCATTTGCCACTGCTCGAGGAAGTGTTGCATAACCTGACAAATACAAACAAAAAAATTTGTATCAGCCACCAGATCATTACAACCACTCAAATACATAAAGGCAGACAATCCCCTGAGTTGTCAAATACGATTACACGTCAACAATTTCTGACTGAGTCATATGAAAATGTCAGTTGTTGGACATAAATGAATAACTGAGTGCCAAACTTCTTAATAAACTATTAGTCTTTAAGTGATATCACCTAGTCATTTGAACTAAGTCAAAAACGTGAGAGGTGTGAAAAACCTTTAAAAAGTCACATCATAAAGAGACCACAGGGTTGTTTGCTCACTAACTCAATACAGATCTAGTTAAGCTTTATTCCACTGCGTTGTTATCCAAGTTTAAATATTACTATACCTGCATCTGCCATGGAGTTAAGCACGTCAAGAGCATGGGCCATGCCATTGGCAAATAAAGCCGCATCTTCCTTGCTACCGAAGTTGAGCCCCCAGACTTGTCGAGCATCCCGCCATTGGTGAAAGTTAGGTGTGGCTTGGTTATACTTTAAACCTTTTACTATTGGACAGTTTATTACCACCTGCAAGCATAAGAAAACAAAATGTAATGTAATGAAAAGCACAGAAGTATGTTGACTTTGTTGTGGTATACCTAAGAATACAAAATGCATTTAACAAGTACCGCCACCACCACAATAAATGAAGTGAAATAATGTAAACTTTTTATGTGGTTTTAAAAGAATGAGCAGTTGTAATATGTCAATAGTAAAATATTTTGCGGCACAACTAATATTATTAAAATAACAGCTTATAATTAAACATAAGGGTAAGCACAATTATTATTCCAGCCTGTAGGGTGAGCAAAGCCCACCAAACGGAAGGAAAAAAATAGTTTTGGTTTGTAGGGGGAGCCTGAAAGTGCTGAGACATCACTTGGTGTCTGGATTCCACAGAGTTGGGGCAGCAGAGCACAGGATAACACACACAAAGAGGACAAACAAGTTCTAACCCAGTTCTTTGATTAATTTTTTGAAAAAGAAAAATAGAACAGTCTCCAATTGGACATTTGAATGATGGTGGTTTTTAAATTACTTGTTTTGCATTTTTATAGTTGCGCATTTTCCATCCATGTCTCAAATAACACACAGTGAATGAACACTAGGTCACAGGAAATGGTTGACAAGGCAAACTATCGCACAGGAAAAGCAATCCACTCTAAAAAGGCATCCCAAGGGAGCTATTTCAGGCCTAAATGTTTAAACAATTATAAACTGAGGCTGCAGGGGGGATATCGTCATGGTCCCACCCAAAGTGAATACTTAAATCAGCCTTTTATCATCTACTGACTCAACTTGTTCAATTAGTTATAATCATCATGTTGACTTCTTAAGGTTCTCTCAGAGTAGAATAGAAGTGTCTGTGTTGATTTAAAACAGTTTTTAGTAATAGCCAAATCCAACAATACTTGACTTTCATATTATCTGCTATTTTGCCAAAATTTCCAAATTTCAAACTTCATTGAAGGCAATACCCATTTGAAGAACTAAATTTTACAATTTAAAGAATAAATGCTATCCATCAATTTCCATAACCATCAAAAGTAAAAAGCATCATTCTGTGACAAAATGAGGCTGCTGCACGCTGTCTTTTCTCACCAAAAAAGCAAAGCAGTGCTGTTCTAAAGCCTTGCATGTGTACAAAAATGTATGCATTAGGACATGATTTTGTTTAAAAGGTTTGTGAGAGCTACGGACATTAGACAGTTTATCATATCTACTTCCTCTTTCCCCAGTGTGAAAGTAATATACCCTAGCTTTAATTATTTACACCTAGGTCTGATAATTACTATATTGACTTATCAATAAATAAAAGCTTTAATAATATTTTTTTTATAGCTATGACTCATTACAGATGCAACCTAAATACCTGAGTGTCTCGTTCTGCTATTTATTTATTGCAGCTCATGACTTTTTAACAATATTGTACATTTAGAATAGTTTTTGTGGTTTAAATCTGCTCTTGGGTGTCTTGTGTCAGTGGTATAAATAAGTTGTAATATTATCATTTACTGATTATATTTATTTCAGCAATATATCACACTTCAAAATTTGTTATTGAGACAGGCCTACTTACACCTCAGAGGCTGCACCTGGTCCAGCTGCAACTGTAGCGTCAGAACGGTTTTATGGTGTGACATGGACTTATAGAATACTGTGGTGTTGAGGTCACCACCTTTGAAAGGTGCATGCATGAGACTGCCTATTCACAACTCCCTGTTGGCTGGCACCACCTTGGCCGGCACGACTCCACCTCCGCCACCACTGCACTGCACTGCACACCCTGGAGTCTGAGCTCCCTTCGTTACTTTTAATTATTTGAAATTCCTCTGGCTACTGAACTAGCACTGCACCGCATCAGTCTGAGTATGGGTCACTGATGTTGACCATATCCCCAAAATAATATAAAAGATGAATTACATCATATGTAGAAAAGAAATGTAGCCCAAAGCTGACATACCTGCTGGTCTGTCTGCATCTTTCGTCCCACTATCCTGAAGGCATTGTTGGTTGGGTTGTGATAGATCTGAACTCTGCTAAAAGCCTGTGGTCCAGTACCTGCAGGAAGCCACTTCTTATTGCCATCATCATAGATCATCACAGTGGCCCGAGCCTGGCAAATACTTGACTCACTAAAAAAAGAGAAATATACAAAATTACTACACATAATAAAGGCATAATGAGGCATTGTGAGTGCTTTATTTTTACTAAAACTATTAAAAGAATGCCATTATATTTCAAACAAGTTACTGGGCAGTAGACATAAAAGAATGAGGCAACAAAGGCAGGAAGCTGTGTCTTGGTCCAGTTGATACAATTTCTTCCCTTGCATACAACCCTGATGGCATTATTCATACTAGCTTCAAATTTGAACAACACCACTGGAGAGAGATAAGCTGTTTTATATATTACAATAAACAATTCAGAAAGATTAAGGGACAGTTTGTTTGTTGCTGTTTGCTTTGGGTTCTTTGTGGAGTGGGTAAGACTGTTTTTAGTAGCAGGGTAACTATGGCCGTTGACATGTGCTAGCCTAGCACCAGCGACCAAATACAAGGACTAGATGGAATATTTTTTAAAAAGTGTCTCCACACATCTCCAACACTGTAGCTAACTAGGAAATGAGGTCCTACATACAAAATTCTGGTTTGTCCCTCTAACATGAAGATCCTAAAATGACTGAATAAGGTGATGCAAAAAAGGAAAACATGAGAATACCAATTCCTGCTATTCTATGCTATGCTATTCAAAGGATGCAGCTGAGTTTATAAACTATATTTCCCCCCTTACCCCTCCTCTCCTCATCTAACCCCTTGCATTGCCTATAGTCCCATAATCCACCTCTCCCCCTCCCTCCATCTGTCCCACCCATGATACAATCTGCTTCCTGTGACACAGCTCCACAGGCACCACCCAATTCCTGTTGCCCAGGCTGCCTAATAAGGAATGTCTCTCCTAAAAAAGAAAAAAAATTCAATATGCACAGGTCTCAGATGCTCAAACTTAAGCTTTCAATTTTATGTATATTGTAGTTATTAAATGTTTCAGGCAACAAGACAATGGACAATGTGCAGCTTCTAGTCAGATTGACATTGTATGATATTTTAATATGATCTGAAGCAACATCATTTGCTTGAACACATAAGTCAATTGTAAAGCCAAATGACCATTCCACTAGAATACACACTATACTATAATTCATACTTTTTGTAGTAGTGTCAAAAAATTTTGTCACATGCTGCAACACATTATTTATAATTATAAATGACAACTTAGAACATACAGACATGAATTACAGGAGGTGAGGTTATACCTATAACCTGGGAAAACACGGCTGATGTGTAGACCAGGGGAAGCATATTGGATAAGGAGGAGGGGACAGACATAGGACTGGGAAACAGATGCATTTTTAATGATAGTGAAAGCGAGGACTCAAAGTGAGACTGAGAGTAAGCGGTTGCATTATTGATACAACTACGGACACCGAGACCTTAAAAGCATGTGTGCGGCACACAAGGACAGCACAGCCACGCACCTGTCAACCTGCCCGCATAGTTCACTGAGCTAGGTCCTCTGGGTAGAAGCTCCCTCCTAGGGTCCTACTAGGGAAGCTCAAAATTTTTGAATAAACCAAGACAGGCGCAGTTATAAACCATCTATTCTGGTCATTCTTTTGGACCACTAGCCAAGAGTAAGAGCTGATGGAACCAAGCTAAGACCGCAGTATTGCCCTAAGAGGGTTTTTCATGACCACAAATAGGTCAGAAGCTGATGCTCTGGGTGGATTTTATAAAACAACCTTTACAGGAAGAGAACTGCTGGCCAATATGATGTGAATATGAAGCTGAAAACTGAGAATGTAAATTAATAATACACTCTGAAGTATTGTTAAGGGCTTCTTCATCCCTGTGCAGTGCTGGTCAGTGAGGGGTTAACAGGAAACCGCACTGCAAGGCTGGAGCACTTAGACATGTCTGTATAAGGCTGTGCGCTAAGTGCTGGCAAGTACAGTCAGGCCCAGTGGCTGTGTGTCCTCCCTCTGCTGGTGTGTACCTGACCCTCCCACCACACTCTTCTCTCACTAAAATAAACCGTAAGAACAGACTCTCAAAATATCAAATACAAGATGCTCATCACTCAGTGATTCTTTGGATACAATCCATATGACCGTAAATATCACTTCACATTGTTACAGCAAACCAAGCATTTATCAGTGGATCTTTAGAAATTTTACATTTACATAGAAAGGGAGTTCAATATACAGCACATTCCATTGTAACTACTATGACGACTTTGCTATAAGACTTGTGCTGATGCTTTTTGTTTGATGCTGAATCCGATTGCCCACTAACTGCAGAGAAACAGTATTAGAAGATAAATAATGTTGATACCAAAGACATACAATACTGTATTATAATGAGGAAGTTACTATTATTCAAAATCAACTTTTAAGTGTGTTTAATCATGTTATAGTTATTTCCCCTTGCCATTTAAAGTGTCATTCTGTAATCGCTTATTTTCAAGACGCCATTTTGTTGATCATCTTTCACAGGATTTGGCAACATTTTTTGGTACAAAAAACTGTTGATTGCTAGCGTGATCCGCAGCTGTCCAAAGGAGATCTTTTTAAATGTTCAAATAACAATGATCCACAGGTGTCATAGATTATAACTATATCAGACAAAAGCAAATGATGTCTTCTTTAACAATATTTATGGGTTAGGTTTGGTTAACGTTTAACAGAAACTGTATCACTAAACCACAGGCTGGCTGGACAAATAATGTCACGTTTGTTAACCTTCAATTGAAGTGAAAAGAAGAAGCGATCCACAACAAAGAGACAATTGAAAAATCCAAGTCTAAACAAGAACAAGAGAGGTATCAAATGAATTGTGGGAAATAAAAACACTGTTGACTCAGACAAGTGTGGGAAAATTTAGAAGAGCATTCAAAATTATATTTGAATAAAGTCATTTCCCAACATATAAAATCCTTGCATTTTTACAGAGTACATCACCATGACTGTGAAATTAAGAGTATTGTTAAAGAAAGCAATATTGACTGTCCTTTCTCATCTGATGCATGTTGAAGCAGGCCAAGCCAAAGCAGTCACACATGTGCTTGCTGCGGGCTACTGCTTTCCGACAACATAAGTCAGCAACAATTACAGACATCTATCTCAACTCTTCTGCATGTATCTGTTTAAAACTTTAATTTGTAACTTCATAGCCAACTTCTGCACAAGAGTGTCTTCCCTGCTTAAAAAAAAAAAACTCCTTGCATTCTTTCTGTGCTTACTCATTCTTTGTCTGGCACTGTTAGTTGAGTTGTGGGAAACACATGTTCAAAACCCATTCATTCTCCAGCAGGCCGAACACTTCACAGGAATGCTTCCCTGGTGTCAGTCATGTGCATGTGGCAGGGGCAAATCAGGCACTTTCAGTACCCTTATTTGGAAGGAACTCACCTCTGCGTGCTTTTCTCTCTGCTCAATTCCTTTTACAGGTTGGAGCACATCCCCCAACAGACTATGAGCCTGCTTTGGTGAATGAAAAAAAAAATCTACTCAGCTGTTCTGACTTGCACACTCTTCTGCCTTGGAGCATGATGATGTAGAAAAATCAAGTGTGTCAAGACAAAGACACAGCTGGGGGAAGGGCAAAAAAAATTACTATTATTGACACTGATCATAATGCATTTATAAAACAAAATATATATATGAAAATGGCAGTGGACATACATAAAACAAACCAAAAAAAGTAATACAGGGGACTCCATTATACATAATAAATAGAAATAATGTATTCTGTTTGTTATATTATGGGCATAATGGCAGGAATGAGTGATCAGTATGACAAAAACAAACAACCTTTTTTTCCTGACTATAATTTTCAAGACAATGATGTTATTGTCTTATAAAAAAGTGCTGAAAATATAAACTTCATAATACATTTTATGAGGAGTTTAAATAATGGAAAATCAACACATTAAACATTTATCCATGACCCTCTCTGACCCTCAACATCTGGAATGAAGCCAATCCACGGAGGCTTTGAACAAGTCAATCAGAAAATTAATATTAATACAAAAATTTAATAACTCTATTATTACTCTACGTGGCTTAGCTTTTGAACATGCATGTAAAAATAATTGTTTAAAATAATCAGAATTTTAATAATGACCTGTTTTGTTTTTATTATAAATCATTACCATTATCAATCAGTACTAGAATAACTACTTTGATTTGTGTGCGCCAAATAGACACTGTAGACCAAAAAAAACAAAACAAAACAAAAAGAACATTAACAATCCCTTTGTTAAGTTTGTATAAAGACATGCATTTGACATCTGACATAACGGTTTTACAAAGTGGAATCCATTATGCACCATTAGACAGTGACCTCCTCTAATGCTGACCATACAATACATCACTACTGCTCTAAAACCCTCAGGGGTCTTTGGCCTGACCAATCCAGGTGACCAAGGCAACAGCAGGACTATAAACATCCCACACACAATTACAAATTTCAAGATTATTTGATTAATCATTAACAGTGCTATACAGGTCTCAGGTTGCAGTTTAATAATTTACGCTTCAGAAAGCAAAAATTAAAAATGTTAGCCTTTCTGTGCACTGAGCTTGCATCTTCTCCCCATGTCTGAGCAGTTTCATCCAGGTTTACCAAATACCCCATTACCCATACATTCAAATAAAGCAAAACTACATGTAAAGTGTGTGTGTGTGTTTTTTTATCTAGCATTTTAAGTCACATTAAATGCACTTTTTTGTTCATAAAGTTTTTTTGATTTTATAAAGCTGGTCACCTCAGTGGTAAACTATGATCTACAAAATTTTTGGTATGCCATAATCAGTGCGTATATTTGGTATACGACCGTAACAAAGCGCTCTCCAGGATTTATCAAAAGTGACGTGAGCGCACAGTGGACTGGGTCTGAGCGTTTCTGTCCTGCCCTCACGCGTGCCGGGTTCCAAGGTGCAAGCTTCAGAAGTACAGCATAGACCCAGTCCAGGAAGTCAGATCTTGTTCTGAGAGGCCTCTGTGCGATGGTTCTAGGTGGAGAAAGCGAAACCAGTGCACAGTGGACTAGGTTCGGGTGGGTTGGCTGTCCT